ATATTATATTATATTATATCATATATTATATTATATTATATATATTGGATAGATGGAAGATGGATGGGTAGACAGATGGAAAGACACATATAGAAAGATAGGTAGATAGAATGACAGAAAGACAGACAGAGAGGCAGATAGATAGGTAGACAGATATAGATATAAAATCCCTGTTACCTTTCCTTTGATTTTTGTACTGGCTTGACCAATAAGTTGAGCGTGGTAAATGAGGCCGTATTTAGGAGTATCTCGTTTCGTTTTAAGCGCTCGAAAGAGTGCTTTTTCCGCTCCTAGTATCTGTACTGTAGATGCTGGGTATTTCGCAAGGCTCACCAGTGAGCCTGCATGAGAAATTAACCTAGCACCAACTAGTTCACCAAGTAAAATAGTAAGATTCGGTGCAAGCACCATCATTCGATTCTTCAAATAATCTGCCAGCTCGGAACGGTATTTTGTCAATTCAATAATCTAAAAAGGTAGTTATTACCAAAATAGAAAAAATCATTTCATTTTCATATCAAGTTTGGAGAGGTATTTGGGCAACTATTTTGCTTGTTCCATGATGAACAATTTCCCTAGTCCTCGACGAATTTGAAACCTACCTGATCACATAATCCACTTATGTGCAACGTATCTGAATCAGATATATCAGTTCCCATACTGATTTCTGCTTCTTCTTTAACTCGCGCTTCCAGCTCTGGTGACAATATATCTGATAAATTACAATTTGCAGCATTTGATCTTATTCCCATAGCTCTCACAGTCTAAATCAAAACGGAATTACACGAATTTCACAATTTTTAGGATTAAAAAGCAGTAACTGCCGGAAATCTCCTTACGCACCTTTGTATAAGCCTGGTGGTCTTGAATTATTTTACTCAATTCTGGAAAATGCCAACCATACCACTCGCGACATCTAAAGCACGTTAAATTGAGATTTAATGCAGTTATTAAGAAATTAACTCTGTAGTATTTCTTTAGATAATATATAAAACCTCATGACATAATTGTTAATTTCTTTGTCGAGGTCATCCAGTAATGAAACTGCTTGCACAATCATCGTGTCAATTTTTTCAGGATTAAATTTGACCTAAAAAAAAATTGAGAGAAAAAGCCAAAAAATATTAAAAGTCAGCTTCCTTCAATCATCCGACGTTCAATATAGAGGACTTCTTTTCGGATTCTTTTAAAAGGCTTCTTTTAATGCTTTAAAACGATTCAACCTTTCAGTCATGCAGTAATTCAGAAAACTTCATTTATCTCCTCAAGTATTTTTTGCATGTATGAAAAAAATCTTTACTTTATATCGACCCAACGAATGAGCCACGGCGAGATTCATAGATTGTAACTTTTGTTTGTGCTCATTTAGCAAACTGTCCAAGTTTGCTCGAATACTACGCATAAGTTCCTGAGTCGCTGTATTATAAATACATGATACATCGAATTTTTCCTAGAAGTACATGTTTTCACTACGCATCTAAATGCTTTCATTTATTGTTTTATAAAGATGATACGGCAGAATTAAAAAGTGCTCACTTTGATCATATTTCCTAGTTTCACCTCACCAACAGCAAGTTTTTCACCCTTCTGTAATTTTCCCTTCAGAGTTTTCTTCAGTGTCTTAGTTAACTTTCCTTCTGCCAAACGAGTGACATTTTCTACTGCTTCTGCAGTATCTTTGAACTTTTTGAAAGAAATCAATTGCAACCTGAAACTCAACAAAAAGTTCAATCGATCTTATGAATCTATCAAAAGCCATTAATAATTGTTCCACCATTACAATCAGAATTTGAAAATTGCAACATCCTGTGTTGTTTCTTTCTTACAATTGAGAAAAAGAACAAAAAAGAGCTGGAAAAAAGTGAAGGGAAGTCTTTTATTCCAGGTATGCTAAGTTATGATGTACTTAACCTCTCATCAATAACTCATCTAATCATACCCGTTCCCATCAACATTAACTGCAAAACCCACATTTTCTGCGTCTTTTCCGGTGTTGAACACTCATCCCAAATATTACCCACATTTTCCAACTTCTTTTCGTCCAACAACTGAAATACGACAGGTTTTATCTATACCTATGTAACGTCGACATTCAAATAGTAATTGAGATGTCTCTAGATCCCAGTTTTGGCCTAATAGTTCGGGATGTCATACATACAAGCTAATCCTATTCTACTAGTTTAAATTATAACCTTGAATAAAGCATATCCTGCAGGTGTCTCGAATAGCACCAACATCCTCCACCTGTAATAAACAATGTATGGTTGTTTGACAGGTCTACCGTCGTTAGGTGACACGTTAAGCAGTTCCCTGCCAATTAAACCAGCGCCAAATACATACATACGTGTACAAGACAATCTCGCCACATCCCCACCTCCCTCCCTATACCGCCCGACTTGTCCCATTATGCTGCTTCATCCAGGGTAAATACCCAACCAGCCGTGAAATATATTACCCAATCTGTTGTGCAAAAAGCTTGCAAAATCTAGTAATTGTCGTGGTTTGAACAATCGCGGAAGAGAGGTGGGCGGGGATGGGAAAGGGATATTATTTTAAAGTTTAACGGTGAATGGCGGTAGACGGTGTCCCAGAAGCTCAGTAAAGTAGCCATTATTAAAGAATGGATGAATAATTAGCTGGATGAATGATTAGCTTCGATCTTATATTTTAACATTCTACAGCTGACATCCCAACACGCGTAAATTGCTGGAACTCATTAACCTTCCTTAACCTCTTCCTTAGCGCTATGTTTCCGGCTAATAACCAAACAGGCTACTTTAAAATGTCCAAAAATAACAACATTAAAGATAACAACATTGCTTAAACTTCATAACATTGAGAAATTCAGATTTACAGGTAACAGATTCGCGTCTTATGAATAATTAAACAGAAACACTTTGTTAATGCGAGCTGAAATGTCTAAAGAAGGAAGTTGGATCGAAACTGCGAGTTTTTCCAGGATCGGGGACTAAATTTATGTAAGATTTATTCTCTCCTACTTTCTAAAATAATTGGTAGAGAGATGAAATGTTATTTTGCGGAAAAGTTCTTTCCCTGTACTGGCGATCATTTCATAATGATGATGTAATTTAGGACGGTCAGTCTGTTTCCAGTTCTAATGCCATCCAGTATTAGTTTCAGAAGGCAGAAAAGGTTTCAAGACCAAACGAGTAGCATGCCTGACGGAGAGTTCGGATGGCCATTGTATCTGTTGAGGTCTTATAACACTGATGACATCGTGGATCTCTTTTTACTTTTCCTTTTTATTGAATGACAGTTGCATGCAGAAATGTGATGCTATTGAGGCGTTCTCCGTTGCTCGAAGAATTATATGTAGCAGTAACTGAGCATGCTCGTGCTGAAATACCAATTATAATAGATGCAACTGCTGGCTTGGAAGCTCCATGGTGAGTGCATACTTCTCAATCTTCCCATAAAAGCATTTCAAATTCACTACTTTGGCTATCCATGTTAATCATTCAGATAAAACAGCCCCTTTTCAAGGAGTTATCTGCAAAGTGTTAATCGAGGTGTGAAGAGATAAATTGGTAATAAATTGCCAAGATTCAATCTTTATCACTTGTATATTTTTTAAGCAAAGTTTCACTTGAATAATGTCTTGAAAATGCAACGAAGTTTCTTATTTGGTCTCCAGATTGTCATGATATTGAAGGGGCCTTTTGTTCCGATTAGAAAAAAGATAAACTATCGAGAAAAACACACAAAGGAGTCTATCAGGAAGAATATAGCGAAGTTAGTTGTTCCCCTTCTTTCAAATTTTATATGTAAGCGTTCCAAAATATGATTGTATTTGATTATAATAAATAACCCTAATGGGGTTTATATTAGTTCGAAGTGTATGGTTGAACATCAATGATAAACACAACATCACGAAACAGCATTCAGTTTTTTGAGAGCTTGCATTGTTCCAAAGGTCATATCGTATATCCTGCAGAAGATTGCAATTAAGTCTGAATTCGTTTGTTTTTCAGTTTGTGCGGGCTCGTAATATTCCTGTGATTTATCTACAGGATGTGATCGAAGTACAAGAAGTTGCAATCAATCCGATTTCAAAGATATTGTTGGCTAGTAGTTTAAAAGCAGCTATATCACTGATTGAAAAACCTGGTGGTGACCTAATTGGAGCGTTCACATTAATCAAGCTTGCTTACCTAGAACCACGAAAACATGTACCAGAATATATCCCTATTTATTCTTTCATCACTTTGACTGAATATTCACTAACAGATTATTCGTGTGAATAATTTTTCAACCATTCGTAGACTTAATTTTGATCAGCGAATTTTTTGTCTGTTGTTATTATTATATCCCGTTAACATAGACTTGCTTATTTTGAAATAAATGTTATTATAATGTTGTCCTGAACAGTGCTATGGCTAAAGGAAAGGTCTAAAAACCATTCAAGGTATTTTATGGCATCATTTTATTAAATGAAGTTTTTAAATGTTTTAGTCGTTGCAAGCTTAAAACCGGAAAGAATCTGGTGAGGTAAGTAATGACGTAGCAGAATGGGAAAAAGTGTTGACAACACTTGCCGTGAAAAGTGTGTCGCCTGATGAGAACAGTGTTACAGTCTTGAACGAATGTTATCATCACTCGTTTACTACCTCCCATGTTCTCTCCTTACCTATTCTAACAATATCTGGTTAAGTAGAGGTAGTTTCGACTTATCAGCAAATGATGCTTCTCTGTTACATCTTTGCATAATGGGCATAACTATAATATTATAATTAAAACATCACGATTGATCAGATTAAAAGAGTGAAATTTAGAACTGTATTACTTTGATCCTGCCTGATTTGGAGATCAAGAGCAATTAATGTTGTTATTTTTGGACATTTTAAAGTAGCCTGTTTGGTTCTTAGCCGGAAACATAGCGTTAAAGAAGAGGTTTTTTTCATCTGCAGTCCCCTCCCCAGCTTATTATTCCAATTTATTATTATTACTTTTTTATTACTATTATTATTACTATTATTATTACTATTACTATTATTATTATTATTATTATTATTATTATTATTATTATT